CCCCCCCCCACCCCCCCCCCCCCCCCCCCCCCCCCCCCCCCCCCCAGATATACACTGCCAGGGACCGGATGGTAGTGGTGTGCAAGGGGGTTCGGGATATGTTTGTGGTTCAAAACAAATGAAGAAATCAATACAAAACTTGACATAAGAGGGACACTTTTTGCGTCAATTTGGCACAAAAAAGCGCAATCACTGACGTTCTAACTTCAAAGCAGGTTAATGATGTGGAGCAGAGATTGAAATGTAAAAAAAATAAAGTATTTTCAAAAAACCTCCACAGGTTGCAGATTCCAGCAAAAAAAGAAATCTGAGGAAACAGACAGATCTAAAATAAAACAACTAAAGTGCTTTCGTGATTTCTGTTGGATGGGGGGGAAAAGTTTGGAAAAAAATCCAGTTTTTTCCCTCAACTTTTGGTTCAGCTGTGCTGCTGCGTTTCGGTGCATTAGGTCTGCGCGCCGGCGTGCGGCGCCGTGTGGCTGTGGGTAGATGGAGAGCAACACTGCAGGATTAAGAGGCAGCAAGATTGTTAAACATGTCAACGTGTAATAGCACGATAAGGCCCTTCCGAGGAATTCATTGGCCCAGCTGCTTTCTCTATTCCGCGCTAATCTCGCCCGGCACATTCGCTCTGTGCAATCTGTCTCCATAATCTTCTGTGACAGAGAGCGGGCGACAAGAGCAGGCTGCTTGGTAATTTTTCCTTTCCCTTTTTTTTTTTTTAGGAAGAGAGGAGGGGGAGACGCGGAGAAAATATGCAGAGGCGTGATAAAGTGACGCTAATTATCCCCATTTAGGACAGGGAGTGCAAGGGATCGGGGCTGTGCGAACAACCGATTGTGCTGCCGCCGCTGATGGCCTCATAGCTCGGAATATATCGGTGGCTACAAGATAAGAGGATCGTACGGAGGAGAGATTTATTGGCCCGGTCAGCTATAAACACAGAGGCGGCGCGCGCGCACTCATACCCGAGTTATTGCAGAAACCTGTTCCGCCACATATACTGAAGAGCTTCCTATGCATTGCACCCTGCACCCCCCCCCCCCCCCCCCCCCGCACCCCCTCTTCCACCTCAAGGTGTAATTTATGCGGGTTAAATTTGCCAGAACGCTCCCTCTTTGAACCTGGCGATGCGCCGTGACGCGCTCCGCCTTTCACTGCTAATCCGCATCTCTTCACATCAGCAGATGAGACTCCTCCCCCCCCCCCCCTTTAGCCTCAAGGTGCAGAGATGTCTCCGATGCATTTATTTTATTTTATTATCTTTCTTCTTTTTTCTGTTGGGAGTTAAAGAAAAACTTGTTCCCTACAGATTAACCCCAAAACGTGTCATTATGAGCTTTTAATTGGCGAGCGCGCGTGCAAGCCTTCATCAGTGTGAAATAGGGCCTCTAACTATGTATTTGAGAATTGATTTTTAAAATGCATAAAGTCACCCTCATTTGCATGTGTATGACTATTAGCTGGTATATCTGTAAGCCCGCGCAGATCATAACTGTCAAAGCAGCTGTCAAAGATGAAATCATCTTCAGAAGCATTTCAGTAAATTACCTTTAAGAGGATTGAAACCTTTGCTAAATGTGCCCTTTTTTTCCATATGCTCTCAAGAGATTTAAAACTCCTAATCTAAAATCAAACAAGGAGCGCAGCTTCTTGTCAGATGTTTTAATCTCAAACGCGCCATGACATCTGCAACTTTTTATGTTTAAATGTGAAACAAAAATTACATAAAATGTTCTGTTGTTTCTGACACGAACTGCAGTTGTTGTCTGAGGATGATTTTTGTGGCTCGTGCGCTTTATTTCCTGTGACTGTTTTAAATCTTTTGGCTGCAGAAAGTGTTAAGGCAAACCGAATGAATCCTCCCACAATGAGAAGGATGTGAAGATGAACAAAAACTACAACAGGTCAAATGCTAACTGTCGGAAAATAGTGCGCTCATGAAGGAGTTTATTTATTTTTTTCATAAATGCACATTTTTGAAGACATTTTGAGCATGTTTTTTTTATCAGCCTACTGGGCCCATGCTCTGATTTTAGTTCGGTTTATGTGCAGTTATTAAAGTGCAAATCAAAGTTTCTATGCATCAAATATTTTATACAAGGTAAAGGAGATTGATCCAAATCAATTTCTGATTTTGAGGATTCTTATATTTTTTCTCTAAAATCAAAAGTTTTGTGTCTGGATTTTTTTTTTTGTTTTGTTTGTTTCCTAAACAAACAAACAAAAAGTTAAATTCCATCACAACTTTCAGAGTTCACAAAACATAATGCATGCTTTACTGTTTGAATATTATTAAAAAAAGTTAAAACTTAAATTTGCAAGTAAAACATTTGCTACAGGTTGCAATTTTTGGGCTCAAAGCTTGAAATGAAAGGACTTTTAATAAGTGTGAAATTAGAATAATTGTTCATATTATACAAATGTGCTGTAAGAGGAAAAAAATAGAATAATTTAAATAGTGCTTTTATTGAAATAAACATTTTAGGCCATTTAAAGCCGGGCAAGAAAATGAGAAAACAGCAATAATAATAAAAAAAATCTTATTCCTGGAAACTGTGAACATTTAAAGAATATTAACAGGTGGTTTATTTTGTGAGGCCTGTTTGTTTCTATGTCAGATTATATTGTGGATCAAATAATTAAAAAGAAATCTGATGAAAAATAAACTTAAAAAAAAATTGAAAGGGATAAATCATATTTCAGCTCAAGCAATTGGGTGAAAAAATATGCAAAATAAAATACTTTGTAAATTTAACAAAACAACACATTATGTAAAAATGTCTCCTAGATTTTGACGCGCAAACACACTAAGTCTTATCTGTCAGTTTAAAGCTGAAGGGTCAGGATCAGCAGCAATATCCCAAATAAAATATAATCAGATTTTTTTTATTTTTTATAATTTGATGGGTCATGTGATCATTTTGTGTCCGAAAACATGAAAACCATTAAGCATTGCGAAAATAACCAACCAAGACGTGTTTGTTTCTTAGGAATCAAAGCAACATCTCGTGAAATTTATTCAGTTCTTTTTCATTTCAGGGCTTTTCTTGCAGAAAAGCGCTTTAAGTTACAACAGCGGCTGCTCCGTCATTCAGTCTGAGATAATAAAACTATTCACAATTTACAATAATAATTAGAGCGTTACAATAAAAAGGAGATGAGCAAATTTTTTTGAAGACAGCAAATGAACACAAATGTTTGACGATGACCCCCCCCCCCCCTTCTCATTTCTTTTAAAGCACTTTCTTATGATTATGACACCGTACCTCATTTTCTAACTTACAAGACACCCTCCCCCCAAAAAAGTATGAGATAATTTAAGAAAATCCACACCCCCTCCCCCCGGTGTCCCCCTTGAACTAAATGGACAAACAGATGGTACATCTCAGCGTCATGTTATAATCCCACTGGTTATTTATCAATAATAATAATAATAATAATTAAAAAAAAAAAGCCGAGAGGATTTAGTTATTTTACCTTCATTTACATATTCATAAACATTCTGTACAAAATGCAAGGAGCTCTCGGGAGCGAAGTGATTTATAAAAGAGGTAAATATTTGGTTCTGGTTTGTGTTAGTTCTGGGACTTTTAAATGTGTGTCAGAGGGACCGTCCCGTTGACTCCAGCCGCTGCGCTCTGGTAGTGCTGCGGTAAGGCGTGGAGTCTGCTCTGCATGGACGGGTCCCCCGGCTCCCCGGTCGGTAAATACATGCTTATCATCTCCCTCAAGTCTCCGGGGCAGGGGCCCCGTGCGTGTGTGCTGCTCACGGGGGGGCTTACGCTCGGCTCCGACTTCACCAGCGACCCTAACGTCCCCATGGCGGCGGAGGAGGAGACGCCGGAGCCCTGGTGCTGCGTGTAGGTGATCCCGCCGTAGCTGGACGGAGAGGCGCTCATGTAGCTCTGAGAGTTCGAGATGGGGCTGTACTGCAGCGCCGTCATGTCGTAGCGGTGCATGGGCTGCGGGTTGTGCGCGTGGTGGTGGTGGGAGTGGTGGTGGTGGTGCGCTCCGCTGCCGGGGTGCTGGCTGTAGGCGAGCTGAGCCTCCTGCATCATCGCCGCGGCCGCAGCGGCTGCAGCCACCTGCCCCGAGTACGCGCCGTTCGCCCAGCCGTTCATGTGCGCGTAGCCGGAGCTGGCGGAGCCTCCGTGACCCCCGGGGCTCTCTAACCTCTGTCCGACCCCGGATGAGCTCATACCGACACTCAAACCAACTCCCCCGCCGGCGCTGGGTCCAGACAGCAGTCCACCAGCCAGGGAGTATTTGTCCTTCTTCAGCAGAGTCTTGGTCTTCCGTCTGGGCCGGTACTTGTAATCCGGATGCTCCTTCATGTGCATGGCTCTCAAACGCTTCGCCTCGTCGATGAAGGGGCGCTTCTCCGCCTCGGACATCACCTTCCACTCGGCGCCCAGCCGCTTGCTGATCTCCGAGTTGTGCATCTTGGGATTCTCCTGCGCCATCTTCCTGCGCTGCCCGCGGGACCACACCATGAACGCGTTCATTGGTCTCTTTACGCGCTCCTGGTTCGCTTTGTTGGAGCCGCTGTTCGGCCCCGTGCTCGTGTTCGTTTGGGGGCCGGGGGAATGGAGGTCAGTTTCCATCATCATGCTATACATTCACCTGGTTTTAAACTTCACCACCAACAGAGAAGAAGAAGACAAACAGTTCAGGAGTTCGAGCGCGCGGAGGCTGAAACGAGTCTTCTCACCCCAAAGGAAACAAGCAGCAGATGAAAATTAATCCGAGAAGGCATATAAAATGTTCTCCAAGCAGGCTTTCACGTGCTCTTCTGCTGGGCTGCTTCACATCCAGAGACAAAATTGGAGCATTTGAGCCACTTTCCCTGTTTGAGTTGAGAAGTTGGTTAAAGCGGCGGCCATGTGATGCGCACTGACAGCGGTTAAATGAGCCACGAGCGTCCAATGGGGCTGGAGCAGCAGAGTGATTTGCATGGAGTTTGGTCAGGTGACTAAAGGAGCACGGAGGAAGAGCACACCGGAGGAGGAGGAGGAAGAGGAGGAGGAGGCAGAGCGGTGGATCAATCCCACAAATAGCACCGAGGCATTTGAAATGTTTCAAACAAGCTCTCAAAGACTTTAACAACAAAAATAACTAAGATTTGCTCGCGCTGATGAAGCGGCTGAATGCTGCGTTTTATCTCTGATTACAACGAGTCCAACTTCAAGAGAAACATTCAAGAGGGGTTTCCATTAACCGCCTGCAACTTTTAAAGCGCTCCGAAACAACATTTTTGAACCTGTTCTCATCTGAGCTTTAAATTAGCCAAGAACGATTTGTTTAATCCAGGTTTTTATGATGAATCATCATTCAAAATAAACAAGAACGTCTCTTTCTCCTCCGTTGTCCTTATAATTAAGGTGTGAAGACATACATCTCACAATCCGCGCGCGCACTCAAAGCAGAAAATGACGTAAGAGGTTTATGATTTTTAAAGAGAGTTCCAAAAGGAGAAGTGCGTAAAGATGGATAATGAGGTGAAACTGCGGGGTAACGCGCCGTGATCGCCGTCTACTGGTGATGGGAAACGAGCTCTGCCCCCCATCCAATCCCCCCCCCCCAAAAAAAAAAAAAAAAAAAAATTTTTACTTTTACACAGCTGTTGCTTTTTATTTAACATCTCGTGAAGGATCCTGCTTGTTGACCGAGAGAGAAGAGCAGTCCGCGCGAGGCTTTGAGTCCGCGCATAAATAATCCAGATTTCACAGCTGACCTCCCCTGAAAAGCTCCAATCAGCCTCTAATTGAAAGGGAAAACGAAATACCACTTCCCGTGGCGAGACTAACGATTTAATCATTCTTTGCTGCGTCTTTTATTCTTTCATTTTAATTAGAGTTTGGTTTGATATCACTCTGTTTTTTGGAGCTGGAGGATCAGATCCGTGTTTTTTTTTTTTTTTAAATAAGGGATGTGCTGGTCAATAAAACGTCTCCATTTTGCTTAAGGCCCGAGGAGGGTGATAATGTAATGATGAGGGAGGCGCACCCGCAGCTGAGTCAGTGAAGGTATCACGAGAAACTAAAGAACAGATAATAAAGATGATTGTGCTCAAAATAAACACTATTAGAAATGAATTCAAATGAACATTTTTAAGCCGTTATAATTTTTAAAATATTAACAAATCAAAAGTGAAAATTCGGCTTTTTAAAATTTGTAA